TAATAAACGAAACGTGCGATATTGAAATAGAAAGCAGGTGATAAAAACGCAATGTAGGAAAATATAAAAACGATGAGAACAAATGATGGGAATAACCAATGTAAAGAAAAGGAACAAAGAAAATGAATTAGATTTGTTTGTTAATAGCCTAAATCCATTAAATATATTTCAAAATATCAATTTCGTATTTGTTGGTATGCTGTTTGTGAATTATACGCAACTGCGTAGTAGTTTGTTGAGACATTAGACCATGTTGCCTCATCACGGTATTTTTAAGGGCAAAGAGAAAACAAATTACGACTTTAGCAACATAAATATGCGTAGTATAATTGTTGAAGCATTGCGTGGCATCGTTAATATGCCATACTCCATTCCACACAAGTATGGCGCAAATGCAATCACATAAATGTCACAACTATTTTGAGGTTAGCAAGTACACCCAGTTTTTATAAATCCTTTAGAATTTGCAGCAAATTTTTACAAGAATGCAGCGAATGACTACAAATCCAATCGATAAGGGGTTAACTTAGCAACGTTCCTTGTTTTTGTATTGCCCACCTTCAGCTATGACGTAGCATTGATGGGCATATTCATCGAGCGCACTCATCGGATACATAAAGTGGAAGGAGGTTGAAAACGTTGGTTGGTCTTTTGTAATACTCACTAGCACAATTTATAATTTTTGCTGAATAGCTAATTAATAGCCTTCTACTGAGCACAATATTTTTCTTGTGATATCACACAGGGAATTAGCACTGATTTACACATTCACCTCAATTCCTATAATTTGTTTTTTAAGAGTCTAATTTTTTAACATTCCTATACCTTTATTTCAAATATTTGTTTCGTAGCGTCAAAATGCTCGCAAATTATTCTTACACAAATTTTATAGCTTTTACACAGTTTTATTATCAGTTAATTATGTTGAAGTTAATAAATTTTCCATAAATTATTTAATTTTATACAATCCCAAATCCACTTGCTCATCCAACTATTTCTATACACCACCAGCTGACAATTCTGCCAATACTGATTTTCCCACTTCTTTTTGCTCAGCCGTTTTGTCTTCCGCAGTGTTGTATGTTCTCGTATCATAGAGCATACTAAAACTAAAAAGTATTACTAATTTTAAGCAAAAAAATAGACATGACTAACGTTTAATCTATAATAATGATAAATAAATCAGAAAATTATACAACTAAAATACTTATAATAACCTGTCGGCAAATAAAATTTTATAAGTTTTGCCTAGAATTAAATCAATTATGCAATATGGCAACGAACAAATTTCCAAATTTTTGAGAAGGAAGAAGCGCAAGAAGTAGAACAAGAGCAAGAAAAATTGGCACATTTGTGGAATGTCGCAAGTTGTGTTTGATTTTAAAGAAAGTAAAGAAATTATCAAAGCATAATTTAAACATATTGAAACGATTAAACAATTCGGTGAGTTCCGTAGATTACTACTTTATCTTAGACTTTTCCAAAAGCTCCATTTGCCTTAAAGAAAAAGCTTTTAAGTATTGTATTCTTTTAAGTTGGGTTATTTTGGCGACACTGCGGCTACAATGGTGGTAGCGATTTGGTTCTTTTCTCTTAATTTACGAAAATTTAATTTAAGGTGATTGAAAGAAGTGATTTATATAATTATAATTCAGTTTGTTAAATACAAATGGTATATATTCAAATAAATTTACCGCATTTGTCCAATCAGTTTAAAAATGGGTTTGTGTTTATCGGTGCAGATATTGTGCTTTCTCTGCAATTATGAACCTTATTCAATTATGGGCCTATGTGCTTTACCTTTGGAAAATTTAATTTGTATGTAAATGTAAACATTAAATGTTTATGTTTTTACCAAATAATTTACTCGTTGCTCACTTGATGGCCAGCTTTATTGTATAATTGATTATACCATAATAATTTGTTTGGGTCTCCCTCGCTTAGAGTTCCCAATGAGATGTCATAATTCATTCTTGCACTGAGGTGACTTTAACAGCACCTGTCGACTATTTCTTAAGTCATATATTTTATTTGCAAATAATCGATGCTATTTTATGAGACACAAAAAGCTTTTAACGATGTACATATGTATGTACTAATATGTGTGGTCGTTAATCCAACTTGTGAGTTTAAATAAATAATAGGTAAACTTTATTTTGTGCCTATAAACATCTTGTAGATAGTATAATCTGCCTTTGTAGCACAACTTGAGTGAAGTGAGTAAAAACCTATGATTTGTTTTTCATTTATTCTCTGTCGTTTTTTGTAAGCTTATCAGTTTTACTACATCTGTCTATATTTTGAAAATATATAATATTACATTTTTTACGTTAGTACGTATGTAGTTGAAGATTGTATAATTATTTTCGGCAAAACGGAAGTTAACAGAAATATTCGAGATTCATACACCCATGACTGAATGTGCCAATACCCTCTTATGGTATTGAAAATGCACATGTGAAGGGTATTATAGCGTCAGTGTAGCCGAAGCTAGCTTTGTTTCTAATATTCCTTTTTTTCATAAAAACGTTCTTTGAATAAAAACGTCTTAGATGTTTTTGTAATTGAAAATATTTTCTAAATTGTTTATAATTATGAAATAAAACCAAGAAACTAAATTTTATAGCATCCATAGGAAAATTTTACATGGGTGGAACCTTTTGAACTTAATGGTGTGTTTTAGGATTAAAAAACTTATTAATATTATTAATATCTACCAAAATTCTACTATCTTAGTTGTTTGTACTTATTTATTTATTTTACCTTTTCAAGTTGATAACTCTTCTTTCAATTTCAGACGCTGTTTGCATGAAAAAATTGCTCCTCACATACATGAAAAAATAATCGCGCTAGCACCGAAAACAACAATACAAATTAAAAACGGCACGAATCAACGCCAGAGTAAATGTTTGTATCAACCAACGGAGTGAACGGTCTGATATAGTAGACCAATTGAGGAGCATTCAGTAAGCGCGAAATTTGTGAGAAAGCTTAGTCAGATCGAGTGCTTCACGTTCAATAGCTGAGCGCGCAAGCGCCATTCAGAAGTCAATATACTCAAAGCGTCCCTCACCAAGTGTAATATTGCTAGCAATAGTTGACACCAACGCAATTCAAAGTAATCAGTACACAAGAGTCGGTTGGCGTGACGACGCCGTTGAATCACCATTCGCCAGCTTTGCGGAACAAATAAGAGAAAGTAATTAACATTAGCGTGGAAGTGAATGCCGTAAATTGACATGTGCTGACGCGTCGCAAAAAATTAACACAAAACAGATAACAAAGATATTGAGAAAAACAAAAACCATTTCTAATTGAAATTAAAATATTGAATTCTTCTGCAAACTAATTTAATCGGTTATTGGCGTAGTCAGTGTGTATATGCTATACTAACATAAACTAATTAAGTGACAGGAAACATTGTTGCGCTCAGAAAAAGAATCAAGTAAAGTAAAATACTATCCCACCACCACCAGTGACCCCACCACAAGAGTATGACAACATCAGCATTTAAAAGTAAACGTAACAACGCGGCGTCCAACAGTGCCGAAGCCGATGGTCACATTTCCAATGATGTGAATAGCGCAGATTTAAATCACACAATGGAAAAAACAGATTCTGAGGAAGACGCTTGGTCATCAACCGGATACAACTACATAAATCCATTTGTTCATCGTTTACAAATCGAGAATAACATCGATTTAGCAAAGGTGAGTACGTTTTAATTATGTTAATTATTATTTGCAGATGTTTTAACACAATGTTTTTGTTGTAAATGTGTTGTATGTACATATGTAAGTTACGTGTTAAAAAAATAAGTGAGTGATCGAATTTGTAATTTAGTGCAAAATTCATCAAAGTTTGCGTTAGAAAGTGAAAATATTAAAGTCCAATTCTTGTTTAATTTTATTTATGTTAAAATATGAAAGAAAATAATGTCATCGTTTAATTGACTGCTAAGCACTTTTTTGAAATGATCTGTGGTATATGCATATATAAATTTCTATATATTGTAATGCCTTAAAAACACAATGATTAACATTAAAGTTGATTCCGAGCGTATAATTAAGCAATGATAACTTATGTAGCTATTTTCGAACTGTGCGGAAAAGCCCTACCCGCCACAAGGTTTGTTTGAAAAATAACCGCACTGTATATTTAAATCGCGCATCATGCGGCTTTTTAAATTGAGATATCCACCATATATTCTCCTATTAAAAACTCGCTAACTTCATGTAAATCGGGTAGAGATGTTAAAGTTACAGCAATTTCAATAAAAGAAATTGTGTGTTATTAAATTTTTTTAAAAAGAGCATATATGAAATTTTGTGTTAAACTTAAAAAAATGGTTTGTGCCATGTGAATTAAATTAAGACCAAAAAATGTATGCTAGCTGTTGATGAAAAAACAGATTTCTCAGATTGTATCCAAAGAGAAATAGATGCAATTCGACTTTCGAATCCGCATGATAACACTTTATTTCTCAAAAGGCGGCTATAACATACATTATATTCTATTTAACTTATGTTCGAAAGGAGAGATTGCATATCGAAAATTCATTATTTGATTATTTTCTTAAAATCTTGAGTTTCCTCGAGAAATATTTCTGATGTTTTTTCACATTTCGAAATAAATGAAGCCTGAGTTTCCTTGTGAAATATTTCCGATCTTATCTTTATATTTCGAAATCAACTAAACCTTACATATTTTCTTCACTGGTTCGTACATCTATATGTATTTTATTAGACGAATTCCTACTAGAGATACAAAAGTTCACCAGTGACATTATCATTGACAACATTAACTCGCACTCGGACTTTAAACATATGTAAACATATGTATATTCCGGCTTCGTCATACTTCCACATGACGTATGTATATGCAATGGCCTCGCTGGCTACTAATGAGTGAGTGCTTAACACAAATTTGCACTAATATATTTAAATTAGATATAGCATCATCAGATCATACGATTTGTTGTTTTCTGCTTCATTGTGTTTTCATTTTCCTTTGTCTTTCTTGTTTATTTTTTAAATTTTTTTAGAGCAAAACTAATAACATCTGGTAAGCGCACTAAAGCACGTAAATCCCGATTGATAGCTAAACAGTGCATGCAATTTAGCTAAACAAACGGTTTAAGTGTTCGACCACCTAATGGGAGACCACTTGGTGCGTCTGTTGTCTCATGAATACGATACATGTGCTAATAATATGCTCTGCTATTTTTTCACTCAATTCACTAAAATGATGGCATCCGTAGCTATCAGTGTTTATCAATTGGAAGGGTCTACTTAATTGTAATAACTTATTTCATACTGCTTATTTCTTTTTGAAGTTTGTTTCCCAATAGTTTTGGGAAATGCGCCAGAGTTGACAGTCCTTGACCGGATGAAAATCCGTTCTGACTGGTTAGACATACCTATCGGTGTCCCATTTTTTTTTAATTTATCAAAGAGCGTTTTTATTATTCAGTTTATAATCAATATCGGGAAATACACGGAGATAGGTCTCTAATTCGGAGTTTACCTATTATTTTCCTTTAGCAACCTTTAGCTGGTTATGCGTTCTCAAGTTCTCAGTGAAAGGCACTGGTGAAATTCCTGAGAGAATCTTCTTCAACTTCTTTTAATATACATCGGTCGTTAAAAGTTTTAGATTCCGTTGTATGTTATGTACATTATGACAAAAAAGTGCCGGGAAATTGTAAATAAAACAGAAAATATTTAATTGTTCATAATAAGTAACCCCCGCAGATATAATACACTTCTGCCAACGATTTTTCCAATCCTCGAAATACTTCATAAGCGCTTTTGGGATGGAGTAAGCGTTTTTGGCTTCAAATTCGGTCACAATCGTGTTTCGATGCGATGGTGCATTATCATCGTGTAAAATCCATGAATTGTCCTCCCACAATAACGGCCGTTTTTGACGGATCGCCTCAATACGTCCAAATATAACTCCTTATTAACTAACGAAAAAGCTTGATTTTTGAGCGGTTTTGGCGTGGTTTTTTTCGGTTCGGTTTTTCCCTCCATTCCGATGATTGTTGACTTTTTTGCATGTCAAACTCATAAAACCATGTCTCATGGGCAGAGTTATAATGTTCTCCATGAATGTGGGATCGAAATTCTCACGATCAAGCATATCCAAAGAGACCTGTTGACAGTAATCTTTTTGAAAAAAATTTAGCGCTATCGGGCCGAGTCGAGCAAGAGCGGGTTAAATACTCAAAATATCCAACAAAATCATTCGAACGGATTTGCGAGAGATGGCAAGAGAACTCTCTAACACTTACCTGACGATTTTCAAGCGCCATATTCTTCATTTTAATATTTTCATCAATTGAAGAGATCGAAGGTCGTCCAGAACGAGTCATATCTTCAACGATCTCTCGATCGTGTTTGAAGGCGTTGTACCACACGTAGACTTGTGTTTTTAATAAAACTTAATCAAGTTTTGGGTGTTTTTTTGTCACAATGCTTGTTAGTTGTCGCTGAAAAATGTTTTGTTCGCTTTCCTTAGAAATAATGTCCAAGATTATCTTATTACGAAGGTATCTGTAAGCTTTGTTCAAGAAGAGGCTATTAGAGGACCGCCAGCCAGGCTGATCCAAGGCACGAGTCGCAACACAGTTTGATCTAACCCTTTTTATACCCCCAATCATAGTAAACTTATTTTTTGAATGCTGCGCTAGTGATAGATCCAAAACACTGTTGCAAAAATTTCCACTTTTCAGTAGATGCGATTCCATAGGAAACACAAAATTTCAAGCAAACCCGTTAAATTTTTTTTGCATGGCAAAAATCGCAAGACTAACTTTTTGCGTCGCCAGCAAACAGCTTTCAAACAAACTAATTGACATGTGGAGACCACGAGTATATAAAGGTTGTACCAATCTAGTAAAAAATTCTATCGGTTCGCGTAGTTTAAATGGACCAGTCCGAGTCAAAATTTATCATTGGGGTGTTTTTTCACATGGGGGGTCCCAAACCCAGGGCACAACTCTGGGTAAGGATGTTTCGCCTTCTCACCTTAGCTTGAACTTCTATATATGACTCCATCCTCCAGGTGTCTACGCCAATAAAGAAGAATATTTTATGAAATATATTAATGCGTTTTGGTACCCCCTCGGCTTTATATTTCTATACACACCTTTATCTCGTACTTTTATGTTTGAAAATAAAAAATCGTTGAAAGTTTATTGGTCAAAAATACAAAACAACTTGATCTCTTCAGACATCCAAGTCCACGACCGCAAAACAAAACAAAAAAAAAAAAAAAAGAAATTTCGGTCATTGAAATGAAACAAAAGGGTGTTAAATTATTACAAAATTTGCTTTTACGTATTTGACCCAAATTTCTTGCATTAAGTATGCAATATCCACCTACGCCAACTGCACTTGACTGCATTCAGCGCCTCAGCCAGCGTTATTGTAATGTTGAAGTCCGATTACGTTACATTGCAGCCCTTGGAGGATTCACCGATTACCATACCGATAGGCGGTATTCTGCATTTAACTTGCGCTTGCTTGTTGAGTTAAAAATTTGTTTTATATTTTTAATTTTCTTATTTAAAATTGTCTCTGCTTTTTGTCGTTCACTGCTGTTTTCAATGTCGACATTGATTGTGCAAATACATACATATCTACACGTGTGTACGCCGGCTGGCCGAAGCGCAAAGAAAAATTTGCACACACATGTTTATGTATATTTATATAGTCTGATGATATATGTATTTTTAAAAATAAAACAAGACTCGTGTATGTATTTACTGCGCCACGAGCTAAACCACCAAACATATACATACATACATATGTGTGTACATAATATAGATAAATATAGTACATATGCACATATCTATAGGATTTACTATTGATAGTTGATTTTTTTCCACATCTTATTTTTAAAACCAATTTTTTAGGGTACACAAGTTCTTAAATGTATATATACTTGTATATGCTATACATACATACATACAGTATTCGGCAAAAAAAATAAGAACAGTTTCAGATGTCGCCAAGATCACGAACTTTAATTTCGATTATCGTGGCGCGATAGCGGTCGATTCCACCGGCCTATAAAGTGTTGCGAATAGTACGCTCAGTAGGCTGATTATGTTTATCGCATCCGCATACCTGTTTCAGGAGGAGGAGACGCAGCACCTCAGCGTACATCAAGTACAGAACTCCGCTCGTTACCGCACATTTGTTTGGTCCGTCATCCGTATCATTCAGTAACAGCCGGTCAGACAGGTAGCTGGATATAATCTTAACCAAGTAAGTCGGGGTTTCGTTACGTTCTAGTGCACTTATGATACGGAGCCAGTAAGCCGAATTAAACGCGCTTTTAGCTATGTTAATAAGCTTTTTAATCGTATTAGTGGTTGATCTCTGTTTGGGAAATCCGTATTGGTATTCAGACAGACCTTTTCATTTTTTAAGTGCGGGTCTGATTGTGCACAGATTATACGCTTTAGTATCATGCCAATCGTATCCAGCATACAGAGGGGTCGATGTGAGCTAGGCTCTCCGGCTGGTTTATTGGCTTCTGCAATAAGCCAATCTCTGCTTTTTCCAAGTTTTCGGAAAAACACCTTTTTGTTAACACCGTGTAAATAATTCAGCAAAAGATCTCGCATTGTGCTTAGTGGCAATCTTTAGAGCCTTATTTGGAATTCCATCCACGCTGTGGCATTGCCAAATCTATCCGC